AAAATTATGTTTCTACACTTTTTATAAATATTTTCTGAAATTTTGAAGTTTATAAATCTATTAGTTTGGAAATAGTGACAAAATAAAGCCTCCAATGTCAAATTTATAACAAATAAGAATTCAACTTTGGTACTCTCTATCTTCAACACCTGTTAAAATTTGAAAATGTTTGCAAAATTATGTTTCTACATTTTTTATAAATATTTTCTGAAATTTTGAAGTTTATAAATCTGTTAGTTTGGAAATAGTGACGAAATTAAGGCTCCAATGTCAAATTTATAACAAATAAGAATTCAATTTTGGTACTCTCTAACTTCAACACCTGTTAAAATTTGAAAATGTTTGCAAAATTATGTTTCTACACTTTTTATAAATATTTTCTGAAATTTTGAAATTTATAAATCTGTTAGTTTGGAAATGGTGACGAAATAAAGGCTCTAATGTCAAATTTATAACAAATATGAATTCAACTTTGGTACTCTCTAACTTTAACACCTGTTAAAATTTGAAAATATTGTTTTCAAAATTATATTTCTACACTTTTTATAAATATTTTCCGAAATTTTGAAGTTTATAAATCTATTAGTTTGGAAATAGTGACGAAATAAAGGCTCCAATGTCAAATTTATAACAAATAAGAATTCATCTTTAGTACTCTCTAATTTCAACACCTGTTAAAATTTGAAAATGTTTGCAAAATTATGTTTCTACATTTTTTATAAATATTTTCTGAAATTTTGAAGTTTATAAATCTGTTAGTTTGGAAATAGTGACGAAATTAAGGCTCCAATGTCAAATTTATAACAAATAAGAATTCAATTTTGGTACTCTCTAACTTCAACACCTGTTAAAATTTGAAAATGTTTGCAAAATTATGTTTCTACACTTTTTATAAATATTTTCTGAAATTTTGAAGTTTATAAATCTGTTAGTTTGGAAATGGTGACGAAATAAAGGCTCTAATGTCAAATTTATAACAAATATGAATTCAACTTTGGTACTCTCTAACTTTAACACCTGTTAAAATTTGAAAATATTGTTTTCAAAATTATGTTTCTACACTTTTTATAAATATTTTCCGAAATTTTGAAGTTTATAAATCTATTAGTTTGGAAATAGTGACAAAATAAAGCATCCAATGTCAATTTTATAACAAATAAGAATTCAACTTTGGTACTCTCTAACTTCAACACCTGTTAAAATTTGAAAATATTGTTTTCAAAATTATGTTTCTACACTTTTTATAAATATTTTCCGAAACTTTGAAGTTTATAAATCTATTAGTTTGGAAAAAGTGACGAAATAAAGGCTCCAAGTCAAATTTATAACAAATAAGAATTCAACTTTGGTACTCTCTATTTTCAACGCCTGTTAAAATTTGAAAATATTGTTTTCAAAATTATGTTTCTACACTTTTTATAAATATTTTCCGAAATTTTGAAGTTTATAAATCTATTAGTTTGGAAATAGTGACAAAATAAAGCATCCAATGTCAATTTTATAACAAATAAGAATTCAACTTTGGTACTCTCTAACTTCAACACCTGTTAAAATTTGAAAATATTGTTTTCAAAATTATGTTTCTACACTTTTTATAAATATTTTCCGAAACTTTGAAGTTTATAAATCTATTAGTTTGGAAATAGTGACGAAATAAAGCCTCCAATGTCAAATTTATAACAAATAAGAATTCAACTTTGGTACTCTCTAACTTCAACAGTAGTAGCAATTATGCTTAGAAATTGATGAAAAACACAATGAACAAAACTTTCCAATTTCTAACCAACCACGTCTATTGCCACAGTAGTTAAAATCAATTATGATCCAGAATTCAGGAACAACATCGAAATATTCCCACTCATTTCCGTCCACCTACTGTCCTACATCCATCCCCTGCACGTCCTATCTTCTATTTCGAGGCCTACTTCCTTCCTAGCCTCTCTCTCGGCCCCCTCGCTTTCCCCCCCGAAGGCGCACGGGGTGGACGCGGGCGAAAGGGGGGGCCTTGTCCCTAGCAATTCGTCGATCAATTGCAGAAGCTGCTCGTTAAGATTGTTTACGCACTACAGACATTTTCCGAATGGAATAAAATGAAATTATTCGAAATACAGTGGCGGTACATAGATAATGGGGGGGGGGGGGGGGTGTGATTAACGAAACTAATATTTAGAAATGTTTCATACAGGTTTAAATATATTTATTTAGTGGCCAATAATTATCATGACGTTAAAATAAATTTGGTAATACTTATCTATTGTATTTCCAAAAAACAATATAACCATAGCAACTGTCATTTTGTGAATCTTATCATGATGGTGTCAAGCCAAAACGTTAATAATAAATTTTTACCGGCAAAAATGAACAAATTTCTCATATTTTACAATATTTGCCTTTTTGTGATATATATAAAAAGGTCCAGGATATAACTTGGTATTTTAAACGTACAATGAAATAACTAAAACATTACAAATTCATAATAACACCAAAAACGAAATGGTTTGTATATTAAGCCAAAAAAAAAACGTCAGTTAATAGTGATTCAACTCAGACGGAGATGAGCGTAGAATATGGAGTAATTCACAAATAATAAGCATTGGAAAAATTCTCATATGCAGGAGCTCACAATGTTTCTTCTTTTTAAGTGTGAGTTTGGATTTAATTCAAAGCCGCGCGTAGTTATTACGGACATAAAGTTATTTATCTCTTAAGAAATATCCCGTATTTTCCAGTAATTCAGGTAACGTCGTAAAAAACCCTGATTTTCAATTGGTGGTTGAAATTTGCAACATGATCTTTAATCTAAGGTTATTACTTATCACCCAAAAATTGCAGCGAAGCTTTTGGCATTGCAGATGCCAGGGGCGGTTCAAGCCGTACCACACACCAGCAGAAGACCAAATATCCAGTCGAACCATCGACATTACAGCTAGGCGGTGGCATCGTAAAGTACGAGTGCCCATTGTGCGACTGCATCATGCCGAGTATCAATCACCTGCGAACTCATATAGACGATCACTATCCCAGAGATAGCGCCGTGTGTCCCGTGACTGAATGCGCTAAGACTTTTTCGCATCCGAATTCAGTTAGGAACCATATGAGGACGAAGCATTCCGAACAGTGGGCGATTATGAAGTCTGTCAGATGGAGTTTGTAGTTTTAGTATTTATCACCAAAAATGTTCAATATGTTTCTACCTATTACATGCTAATATCGAATTATCTAATCGATAGTAGTACTTTGTCACTACAATATTCTTGGAATGCGCCGCCACTGATTCCAAACAAAACAATGTGGCCATGGTAACGTGGCCAAACTAAACGAAATCATAAATAATTGGTTTGTAATTGCTATATTTAGCCATATACTTTAATTCTTTTAACCTGAAGGTACGTTTGCCAAAAATAAGTGTTTGACAGCTATGACAGTTGTTGCAATGATCGCTTTGTTCTGTTTGGAATCAGTAAGGTCCCATTAAAGCGGTCCATAGTCCATAGAAATTTGTAATTTTGCTAAAAATATCCTACCTTTTAAAAATTCCGATTTATTTTTAAATTTGTATGGGTTTTTTATTATAAAATACCCACCCAACGAATATTTTAAATTAAAAGATCTGTGGCCATGAATGAATTTTGTTAAAATTCCATCAAAAACATAATGTCGTCAAGATTTCTTCACGGGATACAACAAAAATATTTTTCTCTAAAATAGGTTACCCTGTATAAGTATTATTATATTTTTGAAAAGAAAGAGTAAATATTTACTTAAACTAAACAAAAATACCATGACATCTGGACGCCACTGTATTTTTAATAATAAAAAAAATCAGTCATAGCCACACAACTTTTATTTATAACATTTTTTTGTATGTGTGTAATAATAGTAACAATAAAGGATACAGGAACAACCCTGTACCTATTCCAAACAATTTAGATATTCAAGAATATTACAGATACTGAAGAATATTACAGATACCATGAATATATCAAATCTTAAATCATTGGCTAAGAATATTTAAAAAATATTTAGAATTTTCCAAATCCCGAATAATGTAAATTGTCTAGAATAATTTTTGTACTATGTAAATATTTATAGATTTTTTTTTAATTCTAATTTTGTAATATTTCGTACCCTTCAATAATCAAAATATTATTTATCTACTGTTCCTATTTTGTGTAATTTTTTTTTTAACAGGAACATTCATTTTACACAAAAAATATAAATATAGTATTCTATATACCTTCTTTTAAAATAATAATGAGTGCCTATGTAATTTTAGTATTTGGACAAAGGAAAATTTCACGTTATTACTAATATTTTGGTCCAATAAACATTTTTTTTTATATATTTAATAGACAATACAAAACGATAGGTATGGTTCTTAATCACAAAATTATTCATTAACTAAATTTCTGCGCACTACGGACGATGTAATATTTATTAATAACGCAATAAAACAATGGGCTAAAATAATTAAAATATTCAGCTTTATCGTATTCATGGTTTTACCGATGGAGCGAAATGGGATTGCGCGCGCCTTAATCAATCCAAGTTAGGCAACCAGAATTGTCGCTACGCTGTAATGTGGCTTGCCTGCATGCGAATTCAAATTTAATGCTAGATTTTTAAAAGGAATATGAGAAAGACAGGTCCGCATTCAGCTCTATTCGATTAAAATATCGGAGTTTTTATTAAATATTAATTATTTTTTTTCAATTGTATTAATATAAAGTTATTACATTGTAATTTTTTTTCTAAGGTTGCAATAAATTGTAAAAACGATTAAATAATTCTAGTTACTATAAATAATTAGGTTATTTAATTATTAGTTGGATATTGTCTTTTTTGTTTTAAATAAAGTGAGATAAACTTCTACAACCAGTTTTTTATTGCGTTCCTACTTTCCAGGCGTTCTTAAATGTTTTTATTAAAAATTTTCTTCAAAAATCGTAATTTATATTTAAAATTAGGGGGTGTTTATTTATTTATTATTTTTTTTGCAGTTTCGAGACGATCCATGGACATGTTGCGGGTGCGAGCCACCGATCCAAGGCCGTGTCCCAAATGTGGAAAAATCTACCGATCTGCACACACCCTACGTACCCATCTCGAAGATAAACACACGATATGCCCAGGATACCGGTGCGTTCTATGTGGCACCGTAGCAAAATCCCGAAATTCCCTGCATTCGCACATGTCGCGGCAACACCGCGGCATCAGTACGAAAGATCTACCCGTCCTTCCAATGCCAGCGCCTTTTGATCCAGAGCTTGCCAGTCGGTAAGTCAATTAATTTTTTGTATAATAGACCATAATTTCTTGAATAAGCATTTAAATATATAGGGTGTCCCTAAAAATAGTGCATTACTTTCACGTATGGATATGTCAAAAAATTCTTAATACCTATATCCAAAAAAATTGGCTAATGGTTCACCAATGCCCTTCCTTTTCTTTATCATAATATATACATCGTAACTCCTCTGAAGTTTGATTATTGATAGTTAAAAGTAGGAATATGTAAATTTAAAAATAGGAAATACGTCTTTAAAATGTATGGGGATAATTAATGATTAATTAATGATTAATGTTTAATGTTCAATTGAAATTTGGTCTGTTTAATTATCATAAGTGGAGATGTTTTATTACACATACTCATGAAAAATGATTAAAGTGTAATCAAATTACCACTACAGACTCAAACATTCGATGTCACAATTCATCTTTGATTTCAGTTTCATCCATCATTTGTCATACGCTAGACCAGATGGCCATTCAAATACCGTTCAACGATCCGGGTCAATTAATAGGTAAATACTAACACGTTAGTTTCTATCACAGCGTATTTATTGATATACAGGTAGGGAATTTTCAACAAAGAAAATATGCAATGAGTTCAATAATGTATAATAAAGACATGCACATATCAGGCAGTGACCGCTGTCGTTCGTCGCGCATAAATATGCTCGCTGACAGCGGTGTTTTTTCTGTTATGGGCTTGTTTCTATTAAAATTAGTTCAACTCATATACCTGCATATACGCTGTGTTTTTCTTATATTTTTCAATTTCGCGGTACCTACTATTTAGATGCAATATTGCAAGAGTAGTAACGAATGTTATTTTAAATACATTTTAAAATTTAATTATTAGAAAAACATGATCCTAATTACTTGTGACTCTAAGGAACGCATTATTTTATGGGATATTCTTTATACTAGATCAGAAACAAAATATTTAGTGTATGTACGCGTCTCAAAGAGCGAAAAGCACAATATACTTAATAGTCCAGTCTCAGGTTAAGATAGGAGTGGGATAGCTTGTACTTAGTTATAAGGTCCTTATAATTTTTACTGCGTTATTTTTTAATTTGGTGATTAGCTGTAAATAGAACGAGACTAATGTAAAACTTTCTATTTTAAATTTATACACATCCCTATATTCCTACACCACTCCATGGAAGTTTAAACCTTGGGGAACAGATAAAAGTCACATGGTTTCAGGTCAGTTGATTAAGGCGAATGGTCTTACATTCGGATGTTATACTTGATAGCTAATGTAATTTGAGTCTGCGTTGTTTGATAAATAACCAATAATTTTTGGATTTTTTTCATAAAATCGGGTAAGAATTTTAAGATAGTAGGTACTACAGTTTAACATTCAGGCACCCAGTTAAGAAACACAATCCGATGAACAACTAAAGAAATAATCATCATTGTTTTAAATTTGATTTTGCTATTTGTCAACTTGGACTCTTCCAATGCATGAACTGAAGCTCAGTTTCTAGATCAAATGAACAACCAATATTCTTTCCAACAAGTTTTCGTCTTTTTCAATGTCACTCAAGATTAGGTTAGGTTGAAAATGAGTGGGATGATTTCATCTCCTTCCACTGCGACCCAGATGACTAACTTATAATTCACCGTACAAGCCACATCTTTTGATGAAGGCCATGGTTGAATTGGGCGAGATTTGTTTAAAGTGGGTAGGCTCCAGTCAAGTAAATCCAAAGATCTGGAACCTGGTTCTTTCCAGAGCGGAGCAGGTACATAGAATATGCTCTACAGACTCCTCCACGCTGCACAATCGACTGTCCGATGTTTGTTGCAGACCTATCCTCATGTGGTTGCTCAGACGGCAGTGTCCTGTCATCAGTCTAGTGAAAATGCGTAGAGCTTTCCTACTGCATTCTCGGATCTGAGCAGAGGCGTTCATAGAAGGGTTGGTTATAAACGCTTTCGAATGAGTTAGCCCAGTTCGTGAGTGTTGCACCCTCCGTTCATTTTGATATAATTCTTTTGACAGTGCTCTTTGCAATGCTCACGAATGGGTCTGAACTTATGAACACAGATTCGGTTCCTCTTTTAGCAAGCGCGTCGGATTTTACGTTGCCCTCCACACCACTGTATCCCGGAATCCAGATCAAAGTAACTTTGTTCCGAGCACCGAGACATTCAAGGGTATTTATAAAGTTTCAAACCAGTCTTTAGTCAACTGGATTGGAGCTGCCTGGTTATCTGAAAAGAACTTTATAGTCTTGTTTTCGGGGTGAAAATTTATCAATTCTCTCGCTCCCAATTCTATAGCACTCATTTTTGCTTGGAAGATCGTGGCCAGAGGGCCTAGATCACTCAAAGTATCGGTACGAATATTTTCACGAGTATCCCATGTATCAATGTCTTCTCGGTTATCTTGGAAACACTTAAACTACTCAATACACACGAACATGTTAAACATTCATTTCTATATGCTTCTTCCTGTATGCTTCTTTCAGTAGCTGGTTTTTAAGTATTTCACGAAATTTCACATTTTGTTACTATACAAAAACATTTGTGAGAGGCAGCTATCGAAAGACGCTACTCAATTGTCAGTCGTACGATTTCAACGAATGTATAGTTATTTTCTAGTAACGTCAGTCTGGTTAGTTTAACACCTCAATATAAAGCATCAAGGATGAATCTGTATGGAGCGTTGTCTATGACCCGCGGAATTTAATTCAACCGAGAGTCTATAATCCATACTGTGGTACTTCATTGTTTAATGTCGGATTGATTTACCTATGTACAACACTTCTAAATTGTAAAGCATACCAATTTACGAGTAAAACAATTTTTTAACCTTTGCCAAATTTTACCACGCACTTTTTCTTTTCTAGATTATTGGCCAAAGCCGGCGTCAAAATAAGTCCAGCGGAACTTCGAGCGAGAGCATCGCCGACCGGTCCGCGACGATCGGACGTAAAACTTGACGCCAAAAGCGCTTACTCAGGCGCTGCTTCAGAAGCTGGCAGCTCCATCTGCGGCGACAACGACCCGGAAGATCTCACAATGTCCAACCAAAGGTACGCCGGATTAGATTTCGGTCTTTCGCCGCCCATAAGTCAACAGAACCATTTTAAAATGAACCGGTTAGGTCAAGCAGTAGCAGCCAAAAGTTTAGATTCGCTCCAAAATCTTTCGAAAGAACCATACCCAGCACCACTAGCGCCGCCTGTCTCCGGAGCCAACACTACTGGTTCCGCCATCTTAGATACGTACATCCAGCTAATGATGTCTACAGAACAAGCAGCGGCTGCTATGCAGGCTGCTAACTTAGCACAAATGAACGTCATGGGATTAGAGAAAGGTTCGCACCAACAGCTTTTAGAGAAAATGCAACAATTGCAGAATGCTAATGAAATAATGATGAAAAGAAGTGACGACATAAGACGTGGTGAAGCGGAAATGGTAATAAACCACGACAGAAACAACCAAGACAAACATCATGAGGAAGGCGATTCCTCAGGAGGAGAAGAAGACGACTATAGTGAAGAAGAATTAGAAAGGGAAAGCGTTAAAGCGGGTGGGGAGTAGTGATAGGTTTCTTTAAGTTAAGATTTAAAGTGTCAGTTATTGCCGTTGCTCTTGCCAGAAGCGTTTACTGGTTGAAGCAAGTAGGTCTTAAAAGAAGACCAGGGTGGTTCTTATCCAGTATGTACTCTGTTATTCCATCCAACTACCTCAGTTTGAATCTCATTTTTAAGATATTTATCGAGACGTTTGTTTATTCATATACACATAGCTCTGTGAGCTAAAAAAATATAATGATCGAACAGTTTCTTGAGAGGAAGTTTTTAAACAGAACCAAATCAATTTTGAAGTGATATATATGTCAGTCATAAATACATTTTGAGCAATATTTTTCTCTATCAATAACGCTTCTTTTATATAATAAATCTGTTGATCTCTTAATATTATATAAATCTTGTTATGATACATTTTTATACGGGTTACATAAGAGCCATTATCTGTATTTGTTTTATAAAACTAACGTTTTTATTACGCCCCCCCTCGTAGTTTATGAAAACAGTATTTGGACATGATTCTACTAATCAAGATGGTAATGAAAGTTTCACAGTTATTTTGTGGAAGGCTATATTTCACATGCAATAAATAGTTATAGTTATATATTTTAGAATAACTATTTTTACAATAAATCTACAAACTCGAATATTTTTGCATCACAAAGAATATTTTTTAAGAATTTCCCTAGAAACTGTTTCAATCAAAGATTACCTTGAACAAATCCATCCGTCTACCTCAAATATATAGTTATATAATAGTAAATGAGTGCAAGATAATAAGGGTTTCAAAATGTATACGGTATATTTAGTATAAAGTAAAATACATAAGACTTCGTTGGAGTTATATGATAACTAAAAAAAATGGATTTGTTTTTTTTATGACGTATAAGGCGATTTTGTAATTTTTAAAAGGTCTTTGTTTATTGCTTTATTATAGGAAAGCTTCATTATTGAATTTTCACAGAGAAGTTTTTAAAATAGTTACTTAAAAAGAAGAATTCATATACAATAGTACACCTAACATAAATAGGGTTCAATAATGAAGTTTATCTTTAATAAAAATCAAAAACATATTTAATAAATAATAACAATAAAAATATCTGAAAATAACTATACAAGGTGATACGTATACAACTATTAAATATGTTTAATAACAATAAAATGTATACAACAAGTCTATCCAGGTAAAAATGGTACAAAAACGTTTTTGCCTTTAGAACAATATTTTTATAAGTGTATCTTCGAATACGAACCGGTGAAAAATTTTCGACAAATTTTTTACATTTGTTCAATTGAAACAAAAAAAAAAACGTAGGGACTTATTCGCTTCCCGTTGAAAGCAAGTAAAAAGTAATAAGCAATTTCTTAGGCAAAGTTACAATCAAGATTTTTCGATTTGAATAAAACACAATAATTAGGGAATATTTGTAAATAGGACCGCATGCTTACTGGATGAGCCGAAACTATGGCCTTGAAAGAGAGATGAGCTATTAAAAGCTAGTATTATTTTAATCCTTACTGTACACTTGTACCTACAAATTTTTGGTATAATTCTAAATCTTTATTAGCCAAATTTACTTTCATTAACATAGTTTTGGGACATTCTTTACATATATATTTATATATCGTACTCAGGTTTCATACAATATCATTGTTATCAAGTACAAATTGCCGTAATAATTTTTATTTTTAGAATATAACACTATATCAGGGATGTACTCAGATTTTTGCCAATATATCTTTTGACTTACTAATAAAAAATGGTGGTATAGCAATTTTAAAATACACATAGCATGTGTGGAGTTTATTTGTACTTCTAAAATTTGCGAAAGAAAATATGACAGCATCAATTGGTACTTTTTATTGCTATACCATTTAACCATTCTTTCTGTTAGTCATTTACACAGTGATAAAAAATCAGGTATAAAACTCACTTATTCAAACAGCATTTAAAAATATTTACAAATATAGATTTCAGATACCATCAGTCATTAGTTTTTAAGATAATAGTGCTTCTTTCCAATAGTCTTTAATACTTCCAAATACAACTTCCAAAAATAAAACTCCGTCATATATTTATTTTTTGTATTGTGATTGTTTTCCAAAAAGGACTTCCCGTTTAAGTCTTTAACTGAATGTCCTATTACACAGGAAACTTAAAAACATCAACATCTAAACACCTGTTTGATGTTTTTACGTTTTTGGTCCTCCATAGATGTTCTTCCATTTTTTAGAAGATTTTTTTTTCGGAATATGTTTATACCTCAATATGATTCTTGCTTTTCGCTATAAGTAATGGGTATATAGTTGTTGAAAGCTTTCTGTTCGAAACAAGAGAATTTGAAGATAGATAGTCTATATAGCGATCTAGCACTAGAATAGAGGTTATTGTTAAATATTGCATAAGAAATAGGATAGTATACTAATGATTGTATACCATAAGAGCGAGCACCTTGGAAAAAATTGGTTTCTTTTCTTAAATCATGCGTAAATAAACCAGTGACTTGCTTTAATATTGTTCGTGGAACCGTACTTAACGCGATTTAGGAAAAGAATCTAATTTAATTATATTTATGACAATGGTAGACATAATTATACATACATGGTGCTTTTTTGTTTCATATTTCTATTAGTTGTGAAGTTGGATTATGTTTTGAGGTACGTTGTTGTATATAGTTAACAACTCTTGTTAATTCGTTTAATAATTTGTATATAATTTTAAACAATTTCTTATTTTATTCTTTAGAAACTACGTCAGTTTTTACAGAATCTCAATTTGTTGATTTTTGAGCAACTACAAGTCAGCAACATCCGATATTTTTTATTTTTCAATTTTATATAAATTTTTCTGTACTACAATATTTTATAATTTGGCGAAATCGAATTAGTTCAGTAAATGAAGGACTGAAAAGATCGGAAGCTGTAAAAAAATCGCTGTTGAGTTCCCTCGTAGCTCAATTTGTAGGTCATTGCAGGGTTTTTAAATGAGAAAATCTTAAACGCGTTCTTGGTACCGGAAGGGGCTGAAAATGGACCCCTAAACTCTGAAAAACGGGTTTCCCGCTAATATCTGGTTAAATATGCCAATTAGAGAATTTTTGTTCAGACAAAAAATGAAGATCAGCTCATTCTCTACAAAAATGATCCCTACCAATTTCGAAAAATCCATAATTTTCATATTGAATAGATATGGTAGTTTCTTGTCGAATTTCCGCTCGATGGGGTTGGAAATGCATTGATCTTCATCTTTTGGACTTTAGAGACCAATTGCAGATGGCGCCAGCACCTTTGCTTTGGCGGCGAAAGAGCTCACCACAAGAGCTATTGTGAGGTTTTTTTTCAGTAATACGCCTCTGGTGTGCCGTTCTTGAGACGGTTAAAGTACGAAAAACTGAACAACAGTTTACTTATTTATTTTATTATCATTCGGTAATCCATATGAACCATTGTCACTTCACTTCCCTTTACTTTTTAAACACTACCAATAACCAAAAAATATTTTTGTTACTTTCAGATCATGTAACTGGTTAATAATGATAAATACCTCTAATTTTGGTCAACTTTGCCATGGTGTACATTTCTTTCCCAGTTTCCATAATATAAACAACAATTTTCTCAATCTGTGCTGAAATATCTGAGTCCTTGGGCCGTCCCTTCGGTTTAGCCTTACCAGAAGCTTTTTCAGACAATTGATAGAATGTCAGTCGACAGACTTCATGATATCTTGCACCAACAACTGTGAGATCGATCCCAGAAATTATTTCTAGCGTCGCTTTATACTTTTCTATATCGATATGAGCTGTGATCTGATTCAGAAGTGTGGTCTTGAATTCTGTGTTCGAAACAAGTACGATGGTACGCTTCTTTACCAAACTGCTCTTTCTTAACTCCTTTTCTATCGAAGCAGGTAATTGACAAAACAAATAATTGTTTTTGAAGTCAAAGACACTATGGGAGCGCTTCTTTTGTCTCTTCGGGCTCGTTAAATGGTCCAACCGTCTTGAAAAGTGCTTGTCAAACTCGTTGTACGCGAACTTGCCTCGAGATTTTTCTGGAGAAATTATTGCATCTCTTCTTGCTAACTCGAATCAAATTTTCTAAACCACGAGTAACATTTACACCGTCATCCACAACACCCTCCTTACAAAGAAAGTATTCTGGAATTTTCTCGTTTAAAAATACCTGCGAGGACCTACAAATTGCGCTATGTGGAAACTCATCAGCGAATTTTCTACAGGTTTGACCCTTCAGTTACTGGACTAAATCATAATAGTTGTTTTTTAAATACGGAGTTGCTAACTTGTATAAGTTTTTACTTATTTTATCAAGAGCCAGTTTGTCAAACATGATCTTTGTGATGTACTTTTGATATTGTTGTTTTTCCACAATACCTACCTCATTTTTAAGATTTTTATAGACAGATTTTTATGACATATATTTTAGATTTACAGATCTCTCTTTACAATAATGCCGGTATTTTTTGTACTTAAAACAAAATATCAAAAAGGGTTAAAGTACTTTAGATTGTACAGTTGTTTAAAAATAAACATTGCAAGTATCCTTTATGTATTTAGAAAAAAAACAAAATGGCGAGCTTAGACAAGTGGGTGTGCAGTGCCATACTAGAAATAAATAAAAATGCGTTTCAAATAATACTGCGAAGCGTACTGTTTTTGTATATTGTAGTTCTCTACAAGTCTTAAGAAATGCAAATAAACCTTAGAGTGGTTCCTAATTATAAGTCGGTTCCACAACAATACATTTTTTCGATAAATTAAAGAAATTTGGCCAAGTAGCAATCATATAACACAAGAGAAAACTGCTTTTGATTCCTTCTGATAATTTATTTATTTATTCAGGTAAAAATTATATATTTTCCGATTTTATTCGACATATTCCTGAACTTTAATTTTTAATTAAATTGTTTTAAAAATTTTATATAAATAAGAATTCTGAATAGCGTAAAATAGATTCTAACGACATTTTAATGTTTCTAGATGAACCGGGGATGCGTACTAAATAGAAAAAAAAAACGAAATATAATCCAGGAAAATTTTACGTAAATTTAGAAAATTTAAAAAGAATACTGAATATTATATAGTTTTTATTTAATATAAATTGCTACTAGTGCTATACGAAAATCTTTTGTAAATATGAATTTTCCCTTCTTGTCATTGTGTAAATCTCAAAATTTTATTGTTGGGGGACCGTGTGCCTTCATTTTTGTTTTAAGGGCTGTCTGGCAGATAATCTGTCAAAACAGACAGCCGCAAAGAGTTCCTAAACCAAAAAAACCCTTTATTGCGGAAAAAAATACAATTAAAAAAAAATTAAATAAAAAGTAAACGTGTAACTTTTATATAGCATAGTAAACTGTTATAATTCCGAAGTATAGTTTTGCTAAAAAAACGGCAGAATCGTATATACACTATTATTAATAATGAACAAATACGTGTATGTGTAAAACTATGAGTAAAAATAGAAATTATCTCTGTATGTTCGAACAAATTATTTGCATTTCTTTTTATTTAAATTATGTACTTAATTTTTTTTTGTAAAGAAATTTTATTTTTGAGATTTTTATACTTTTATTTTCTAAAATGTTCCTCTTTTGAGTTTAAGGAGTTGTACGTTAAGTTTTGTTCTTATTATCGTTAGGTTAGAGGTAGGTGCAATAAGATGATTTCGTAGAAAAAAAGTTTTGAGAAAAATACTTTTTGCCATATTATTATTATTCTTTTTTATCTTTTTGTGTACTGCTTGGGTATCGTTTATACATAATAAATTAATATTAAAATATTTTTCGTTTTATTTATAAATATTTGACGTAATCATTGATGCTGTTAGCTGAGGACTATCGGTAACTTGTAGGTTATTGTTAACTTTTTACTCTAACCCAGGCCTGCAAAGGGCCAGATTTGAAAAATCGTAACTGTACGAGGGCCGCCCCTATAATCGGTTCAGGTTTCTAAAAAAACAAAAAACATCGACACCTTTCATTTATAAACCAACTCCTGCTGGTCAAGCAAA